CAGCATACTCGCACTCTTAGCTAGAGGAATAGTGAATAACACATTCAGGAGATATGCATTACATGCTATTTTGACATAAAACTAATTCAAATGTTTCACAAAATTTGTGAAAATTATTTTTAAAGCTATTAAATTCCACTAAAAAATATATATATAATAAAATAGAAAAAAAATTAAAAAAAATAAATGTGTGACTCACAAGTGGCCTGACACCCCCCACACCCCCCATCTCCCCTGTCATAAACTGTCACACTTTCTTACACCCCCTCCCCCCCCCTTCTGGAGCGTGACGTACTGTATGGACGGCCCCTGATGGCAATCCTCCGAAGTCCGGTCGCAAATTATTTCGTATGAAAAAAAATTGCAATGCACTGTGTGTATTGTTAGAAAACAGCAGAAATGTCAATCATAGCTTTTGCAAATAACTGTCATGTTACGAACCAGTCAGCAAATACTAAATATTGTAATTGGTGCATAGCATTTGCAAATAGCAGCCAAAACGTTCTGCTTGTGACTGTTGTGCCACGGAAGGCTCCAATAGTTGGCAAACAGACTGCGACTAGTATCACTCTGATGGCGGAGTTTACGTTTCGCTTGCATCCAAAGTCCTTCAATAATTTATATGTGAATGTCCTGGTCTACTGGATCAACAAATTCACGCGCGTGCACAATGACAGCGTGAGCATAAATCCCGTTGTTGAGCTGGCCGACATTTTGATATCCTCGCCAAGCGTCCGTGACGATAGTTGTCCCTGGCAACACATGATTAGTGATAATGCGCTCGAGTGTTTGTGCATCTAGACGGCCGACAACCCCCATCCAACATCGTCCACTAACGCAAACATGAATTTCAAAACAGAATAATGCCCAAGACTTCTAAGTAAGGAGTAATCATTGGAAATAATTTGGGACCGGACTTCGGAGGATCGCACAAATGGGATTACCGGTGCCTTCACGAGAACGGGGTGGGGGGTGTCAGCAAGAAGGTTGGGTAATCTATCCTTTTAGAGTCCGTTATGAATAAATCATGTCACTCTGGTTTGAAGTGCTATTTGATCAGTTATTATTTTATTGATGAGATAAAATTCCTTTACTGATCCAAATAAATGGAACTGCTTGCATGACCTTGAAGGCTACATATTGATTTCAGCACAGCACAAGCGTCTGATTACTCTGATAAAATAAGTGAGCCTGGAAGGATACATCTCTCTATGCCTACACACTCCTATAACGTGATCACACGTCGTCCTGGCACTTCGATGGTAAAACAGCGCCCTCTCTCTCTCTCTTTCTGGGCCACCGAAAACACAGTGGTCCTCTCTTCACTGTACTGTTACTGGACATAAATAAAAGAATAACCGATTATTAATAGCAATTCAAACCGGAATAACTGACACTGAAGTGGTAGCTTACAGACGTTTGAGAAAAGAGGAAGAAAGTAAAAGTACGAATAACCAAATTGGAGATCTGTGAAACAAAGTATGGGAAAACCTGAAGAAGAAAAAAAAGGAATGCAACAAAATGCCCCCTATTACCAGAATAACCACAACTAAAGCTTTTTAGAATTGTTTTTTTTTTTGTTTTTTTTTTGTTTTTTTGACAAGCCCAAATAACGATGCCAGTGGCTCTCAGATTCTCGGTTGTCCTGGATTTTTACAAAAGGCGCGCGATTCGCAGGACGAAATCCACAAGGCCTTGGAATATTCTTCAAGGATTATAAGCTGGCTCCCAACAGCAAATCGCCTCGCTCCACGCCACTGGTTAACCCAAGGGAACATCATGTGGATGATACAGCTTGGCACAAGTATGCGCCGCAGGAGTTGTCGGAATGTTTCATTGTACCAATGTTATCCGCCTACGAGACTCCATCTCCGGGTTTGAATTCAGAATTTCCTTCTCTTAGATGAGTTGCCGTCCAGGGTTAACGAGTCCCATCTACCCGGGGTGCTGGTGAGGTGTTTTTGTTTTTTTTTTTTTGTTTTTTTTGACTGGGCTTTGGCTGGAATTGGCTCAGTTTAGACCATTCGGCCACCCATCGTCTGAACGATCTATAAATATATAGATTTCCTGGTCAATGACGTAGTATAGATATTTTTTCCCCCAGCATGTCAATCTAAATATAGAAACGAGGCTTAGGGGGGACACAGCAAATATTATTTTAAGCTTTAATCGTCAAATACCTTTTTTTTTAAGGAATATTAATTTATTCGGTTCGATATGGATCACAGTTTATCCATTTTAAAAAACTATATTAAAAAATTTAATTAAAAAATTCCAATCGCCAAATTAAGGACAATGTAACGCTTAGGCTTAGGAAGACCTGTAGTAACTGAGAGCCATTTTTTAAATAAAAAAATTGTTGAGAGCCGCATTGAAGCACCATGGGTCACGACCCCACTCGCAATGAAAAATTCCTTTGTGATTTAGTTTTAAAAATTACTTTTTATTCGAGTTTAATTATGTAAACATTTCAATTGTTTTAACCCTAACCGTATGTTGAAGAAATATATGCGTTACAGTTACACAATTGAAGAAATATAATATGGGTTACAGTTACACAATTGAAGAAATATATGCGTTACAGTTACACAATTAAAAAATATTTAAATATGTATAATTTATGAATAGAAATAAATTGTTCGCGAGCCGCAATGTGAACACAGAAGAGCCGCATGCGGCTCGCGAGCCGCGGTTTGGCCACCGTTGGCTTAGTAAGAAGAAGAAGGGGAGTGAATCCAAAGCAGAAACTTAACAAAAACACGAAATGACGTCATGGCGCGGATATTCCGACTTGACCAATATATTAATTAAAATTGTTTCCACAATTGGAAAATGTTATAAATATGGATTTTTTTTTTTTTTGCATAGACATGTTATTAAAATTAAAAGATTTAAGTACTGTCAATTAGTGGTTATGACTGTGAAAATAAATAATATAAAATCAGAAAATAAATAACGGTTATTAAATTATAGGTTTTTTAAAATGAATTATAACCTACAATTTTTTTTTTTTAAAGTATCAAACTACCCATATTTTTATATTATATAGGCTTTATACTAAACCTTCTTGTTCAATACTTAAACTAGGTACGTTGACAGAGATTTTTAATATTGCTGATCAGTGCTTGCCATAAAGATATGAGATATATCATTTTAAAGGGCTAGCTATAAGCTTTCCAAAAATATCAATTTCATCATTCTATCTTTTATAGAAGTGGAGTTATAATGTTTGTTTGTTTGTTTTTTTGTTTGTTTTTTTTTTTAACTTTTTAAGTGTTTTAAATAATCTATAGCCATATCTTACCCCCGAACCTTGTGACCCACTTTTCACATTTCTGAACATTTGGTCCATAACTTTTTTGAATTTTTAAGTTAATTGTACAAAATGTTCAGGAGACATTAACAATCTAAGACGGTGAAACAGTTTTATATAAAATTAAGAGTATATTTTGGCATGATTTTGGATGAGGAAAAAATTAAAAATTTAGTAAAAAAAAAAAGTGAATTTTTTAAAAAATATTTTAAAAGTTCAAGTGAAACTAAAAATAATTGCAGGTTCATTTGATTTTAAAGTACATATATATATATATATTGAAAGTTTTTTTACATTTATTTTAAATTACCTAATATTTATGTATAGGGAACATCACCCTCAGTGAACTGAATAATTGGCGTGGGGGGGGGGGGGAGGGAACGAAAAAAAATTGTGTTAAGCGTATTTTAATTGTTTTTAATATTCATAACATGCATTAAACCAATGTTAATGTTGTTAGATGAAGTAAATTCTTTTTTTTTTTTTAAATGTTACTGCATACAATTATTATTTCAAAATGGAGAAAATCTACTTTACTTAAAAATTAAACTAAAATTCATAACATAATAAGAGCATCTGTTAAACGTTGCAGCAGTGGACCAGCCCATGCCCATCATTTATCTTGTAGGCCTACATCATGGAGAGTCTGTATAATCGTCTTCTTTCCTCCAATGGTGACCAGCTCAGTGTTTCCGGCATGCTGCCAACACTAGAGGTGTTCCTGTAGCGGTTCAGGACAAAGCGTTCTGCATCCAACCTGCCGATGTTTATCTGGGTGAATGGGGTCCAAAACAGAAGACGCGTAATCTAAAAGCGGTCGGACAAAAGGCTTTATAGCAGGAGTCTTAAAATCGCGGCCCGCCCCTGCTCCTGCCTACTGTTCGAACACGTTTTAACATTGAAAGCCTTCATGGAGTAGGATGGGGTGGTTTTTTCATGTACTAAGTGATCCCAAAAGACTCATGAACTTGGCTTTTCTTGTTGACATTACACAGGAGCTGAATGTACTCAGCAAGAAGTTACAAGACCAGGGGTAGCTTGTCAGTGTTGCTGACAATGTCAGGGCATTCTGCACAAAACTTGTGCTATGATTCTTAGAGAAACCTCTGCCATTTCCAAACATGCAAAGTAGCCTACTTATGGACTCGGGCACACCCTTCAGTAGTAAGTATATTGATGCCAATACAAAGCTACAGGAAGAATTTGATCACATTTTTTTTTACTTTAAGTGGGAATCGACATATTTTTGTTTTCATTTTATGCTTTTTCGCCTTTTTTTTTTTCACCAGAAACGCATTATTTTCATAGTATTTATTAGCTGAATATTTGTACTTTAGATCACGGGAATTTTATCTTCTTAATGAGGATATAAAATTATAATGACGTCAAGAATGATATGCAATGTGACGGCCAAGTCCCCTTGTTGAGTCTAAAGGTGACACGATGCTCAACATTCTAGTTTTAATGTCTTGTTGGCCTAATTTTGTAATTCCTTTTTTTTTTTTTTGTGTGGAATACATAATGTGGTCCAGCCTCACTCAGACTCTCCCTCCTACTGTCCCCGGGTAATTTGAGTTTGAGATCCTTGATCTAGCTGAACTAATCAACTTCAATACTATTATACATAAAACACCGATTCAAAATTAACACTAAAAGATTCTTTTGGGTTCAAAGATCATAAACATTTCTTTGTACGGGGAAAATGGCAACTTTTGCCTTTAAATCGATTGTTCGCCTCTCTCGATCTACGAATAATTTTCTTTCTGTACATAAAAGGGCAAACTCATATTTTCCAATAAATGACACACTTTATAGTTTAACAGAAGAGCAAAAACAGGTAACTTTTGATTGTCTTTTTACCCATAATTTTAAACGTGAGTGAAGTTAATTCAAAGCGACCTTTGACACTGCGCCTGACACTCGTAACTTATTAATTATTACTAGTAGTCTAGACCAGTGCTACTCAAAGTGGTGGTCCGCGGACCGGTGCTGGTACGTGGCCATCATCCGCCGGTCCGGAGAGCATGAATATTGATGTTTAAATAGAAAGAAAATATATTTAATAAATCTGGCACCGGTCCCCGGTGCAGTTTCGAAACTTGTCCACGGGTCCGTGAAACTTAAAAGTTTAGGAAACGCTGGTCTAGACTAAGTAAGTAGTATAGTACTAGTACTAGGCTGTACTAGAGCCATTACTCAACTCGGTCTAATTAAAAATAAAATGATCACAACATTCATAGGTACCACATTCATATTTATTATTATTTAGATACCTTACAGCCTTACAAATACAAAGGTTGACAGGGTAAATTTACACACTGGGTCCCCTCTTTTCAAGTGTGTGAAAGTGAAACTGTATTTTTTGCACTAATTTTTTTGAGATGCCCTCTATTAAATTTATGGCTATAATTATTTATGATTGATGATTATCATGACATGTCTCCTGTGGCAAAATGTTTGATGGCTACATCAACAAAACAAAAAAAGAGAGACTGGGGTGAAAATCTGGAGTTGGAGAGGAAAGGGTCAGGGAGACAGTGTGTCAGTGTATTTTAGTTTTAGCTAACTTTAAAAAATCGACACAACTGTAAAATAAGGCTTGATTAAGGGAATATCATTCTGACGAACCTGAATGCAAATGTACTAAGCACAAAAGTCAGTATCGCTAACTCAAGCGTAATTTTTAAACCTACAAAATTCAGTCCCCACTAACTCTAGCTTAAATCTTCAACATGAACCTTAAAATCACATGTTCGTGTGCTACAGATTCACACTGTAACTGTAATAGTAACTAAGTAATGTAATGAGAAAATCATAAATTTGAATAAAAAGATTAAAATTACTTTTGAAATGCTCAAAATAATGAAAACCCAACTTACAGTTTCATCGAATACACCTTTTATTAAACACTTAATTACAGTTTCCATTGAAAATAAAATCTCAAAGATGTTAGAAAATTCAAAATCCATTTTTCACATGACATCGGCAAATAGCCTCATTTTGAAATATTATAATTAAAATATAATAATTAAAATAGCCTCGTTTTGAAATATTATAGTTAACCTTGCTACAAAATATTAATTTTTAAAAAAAACCCTTCAATCAAAAACAAGCCATAATATTTAATAGAAAAAATAATAGTTACCTTTTTTATCAATCCACGACTTAACGAAGGGGATTTGACTCATCCAAAGAAATTCAAGGGACTTGTAAGGGTTCGTCCATGAATTATGTCAACAAAATAAGGGGAGGGGCTTTGGAAATGTTTGACTGTTGTTGACAAGGGGAAAAAAAGGGGGGGAGGGGGGGGGGTTAGATTTTTTGACGTCAACAATTTTGTTTTTTCTGTTAAAATTTTAATCTTTAAAATTTACTGGTTATTACATTATTTTAACAAATTTAGTGAAAGAGGGAAAAAAGGGGGGGGGGGGGGGGGGGGGTTAGATTTTTTGACGTCAACAATTTTGTTTTTTCTGTTAAAATTTTAATCTTTAAAATTGACTGGTTATTACATTATTTTAACAAATTTAATGAGTGTAAATTAAAATAGTTATATAATTTTTAAGCTTTTAACAATATAAGATTTATTTAATGTGTGTGTGTCTGGTCACTGCAGATGGCTGGTAAGAATGTTAATACACTTTGTTAGTGCTAGAGAAGTCAAAAGTTGGCCGTTGCCCTCTCTTGGCCGTTGGCCTCTCTTGGCCGTTGGCCTCTCTTGGCCTTTAGATTCTGTTTGTTGCAAATGACAAGTAAAGTGAGTAACAACATCGCTGCTTGAACGGATTTTCAAAATCTGTAACATCTATTTTGCATTACAAGTCATGTTGATATAGCAAGTTCAACAGCACCGACAATGCCATTGACAATGCAAATAAATAACCACCTGCTCCTCAACAAAAAAGGATTCTACTAATGCAAGTAGCTGCCAGGAGACAGCGAGAGATTATGGCCATTATTGCTCACAGTGACAATGCTTCTATTTTAAGTGCTGAATGGTTAGATAAGAATGATGTTGACTTGTCTGGTATATCGATTCCGCATTATGAAAAAGATAAATCAGCTACTATGCCCATTATTACGATAGAGCAACACCTGGCTACTCCCTGGGAATATGATAGCAGCTAGAAACTATGCTTCAATTGTCAGCTATACTGACAATAATTACATTTATACTTCCGCAAACAATGATAATTAGTCTTTAACAACCTTTAATTGCTTCTACATTATAAAATTTAAGTGTGAAAACTTTTTAACTTGTTGATTAGCAAGCTAAAGATATAATAAAATGTTTTTCCTATACTTTTGTGTAATTAAAATCAGCACAAAGTAAAATGCATTTAATTTATATATGTATTTATAATATAATTCATTGGGGGTAGGGGGTATAAAAAATGTTGACATAATTACTTAAGTGGGGTCACTGAGAGTTTAACGGGGGGGGGGGGGGAGGGGGGGGGTTTAAGTAGTAAAAAAATACTTTAAAATTTTACAATTAAATTATATATAAAGTATAATATAAATGATATGAAGAGTCGATTTTCCAAACGCGGTATCCGCCAATTTGAAAAAAATTAGATAACTGTACATCCTTGTGGAGCAAACCAGGTTTCTTTTGGACATGTTAAAGTTTATCTACAAAACACATTTTAATACTATATTATTCTATGTCTAAATAATAATTTTATTTTCAAAACGTGGTGTGTATTTTTTTTTATTATTATCAAAATGCTGTATGTATTTTCGGACCAATGCGTGTGATTGGAAAGCTATTCTGCGCATGCGCACTAAACATCACGACGTGAAACAACAACAAACACAGTGCATAACGACGGCCTTGATGAAAGAGTTTTTTGTAATATAAAATCTTGAAAAAGAAAGAGATTTTTTAGTTCAACACGAGAAAAAGACAAATCATTTCGTCCTTCAAGCGGAGGAAAGATCCCCTCGGTGACGTGTAATCACGATAAATGGTTCTACAAGGTGAGCTACCAGTAACTTTATTAAAAAACCATTAAATTTCATTTTACATTATTATTATGGTTATGGTAACTACACATCAGAAGTGTTTTAAGGAAATGAAAATAAAAAGTTGCTTTACAGAGTTAGCTGTGTTATTTATTACACATTCAATCTTTTACATGCAGATCCAGCCATGACAGAAAAAAAAGGGTGCTCAAGGACAGAAATATTTGCCCTCTGATTTGAATGTAAATAAGAAGCAGCAACTTTTCCTGGAACAAAACCAAACTGCTATTGAAGATGATGCACACTCTGAATCAGACACTTCATTATTTTCTATTTTGTCGTTGTTTTAAATTCAAATAAAATGATTTGTGAATTGAACATTATCTTTTTTAATTTTGTTTAGAATTCAGATATATAAAAACAAATTATGCAAACTTATAGCACTCTAAAACTACACTATTACAAGCGACTTTCCAGCATTTATAATACTGTTCTGTTAAAATATATCAATAAAAAAAATTAATCATACACAAATATATATATACCTAAATTAACATATTTGAGCCATCATTGTGTAGCAGAAAAAGTCGATTATCTCAAAAATGGATATATAGCATTTTGAAAATCGACTCTTCAAATATTTTTATGTACCGGTATACAAGTTATCAAAATATATAAAGTACATATTATCTATTCAATATAATGAACAAATTATTAACTGATATATTTAAATAATATTATACAATATTATATGGACAATATTCAGATTTAATTCAAATTTAACAGTGAATTCACAAATTCGTAGAATTTGTTAAATTCACTGAAGCTATGTTTTTGTGTTTTATACTGAGAAATGATTCAACTGATGGCTATTACTAAAGATTAACCTAATATTACTTACTTGGTGATTTAATTAGAACACAGTAAAATAATATTTACATAAAAACAATGATTAATTTTTATGTTTTTAATGCTTCAACAAAATCTTTGGTTTGACAAATTTGCTACATATTTAGGCTAGGTCTAGACCTCAAATGATGATACGTGACTGAGTGTTCGAAAACATACCTATCCAACTAAGAAGAAAGTATAATATAAAAATAATTGGTAAATTTGAGTTAAGAAAAATAGTATGTAAATAATTTTAAATACTTTTATTAAATGTCTTGTGAAACAATTGAGTATCATAGCATGATTAATAATTTTTTTTGAGAATCGAGTTCAATGGATATTCGAGCTTTGTCTCATTCTAACTTATGGAGAAAAAAAAGACAAAACGCAATTCTCCTATCCTAATTCTCTTAGACTTGGACTGTACAGCTTTAGATTACGTACCATTTCATCATAAAGCTTTTGAATTTTAAAAAATGTCCACTATTTTGTGAAAAAAAATAGTGAACAGAATGTGAAAAAAGCGTACTGTCCGCTCAAATAGTTGACACCTGGCAACCTTACCAAAGCGTAAGTTGACCATTAGCAGAATATTTTTTGTTGTCAAAATACAATTTACTTTGAGTCTTAGCATTTTTATCTCTGGGGCAAAATCAGATTTATTTTGAAAAAAGTGCCATTTTTTTTTACCTAGGGCACTCAATCAAGCATGTCATTATTTTATAAAGAAATTTTTTATTGAAAATCTTTCACAACACTTACAGAGCTAATTAACAAACTGTGTGTTTTAAATAAATGATGTTGCTAATTTACGATGGAGTGCTCACAACACTTACAGAGCTAATTAACAAACTGTGTGTTTTAAATAAATGATGTTGCTAATTTACGATGGAGGTAAACTTTTTGTTGGAGGACACCTCAAATAGCACAATCTACTGGGTTTAGGTCCGGGCTGTTTTTGATCCTCATGTCTGGTTTGATGAAGGTTACTTTCTCCTGATGAAAAGGTTAATTGTGGTTCTTGCCACATGTATGTGCGAAGGAGCTCTGTCCTGTTGCAGTGTCTATTTGTGACAATTACATGTGCCTCAAATATCTAGAATTTCCTGGTATGTGTTCTCAATAATACTCACTGTTTTCAGTTTTGTTCTATGTTCCACAAACACTGCACTGGTTTTTCCCATCCAACTCTATGAAACTATGATGACAAGACTGAGTTGTTCACATTTGCGTAAAAGTTTGGCTGCTGGAAGTGTTTTCTTTTTTGTTTTTTTTAAACATGCTTCAGAATAAACATGATCATTTTGAGAATTATCAAGTGAGGATAGAGTTTGTGTCTATTCGTCTGCAAACCAAATGGTTTGGACACTTCTCTCATTTGGAAACCTATCATTGACTTCATTGCTAGCATTTTAATTTGCAGTTTTCGTTATGACCTGCTCTATTACTTGCTTGTACTGTACGTTTGAAGATCTAACCTTACAGTGTTTTGCTATGTTCTTTGTGATATGCCAGTTTTTCCTTTGACCCTTGCAACTGTGAGGATCATCATTATGGCTGCAAATCATCTCACTCACCCGCTGAATCTTCTGCACTTTTCTAACTAGCCAGGTGGCTTCTTCCAAGTTTGAAAGCTTTTAAGGAGAGGATTTAAATGATACTGATGATGATTTTAACATTCCCCATGACGATCTCCGTTCGGATTCTTATTTTTAGTAAATCTGATACTAGCCCACTCTACAGCATGATCTGTGCCACAGTTCCTGGGTTAAAGTCAGAATAAAATCTGTTATTTTTGTCATTGTATAAAAGCAGTAAACACTGAAAACCTAAATCAAAATATAAAGACCAGAATCTAACAAAGTTATGGGCGTCATATGTTATCTAAATGAGAATGTTTCAGTTCAAAAGCTATCAAAAATTAAATTCTATATACATTCTTTTTTTTTCCTCCTCTCTGTATATCTGACTCCTGGTTACATGATTCTCATATCTAATTGATTTATTAAATTTTAATATAAAAACTAGTAAAAACGTTTTTTATTGTCAAAAAAATTAGGGATTTATAATTTTTTACTTTTTCCTCCCCTTATCCTTTCCTGCACTCCCCTAATGACAAATAATGAACCTTAGGCTCCTACTCATTTCCCATGCACTCCCATCTTGCCCACTCTAAACTGCACCCTTCTTTCTCAACCCTATCAATCATTCTTCACTTTCATGACACTCACTCTCACACTATCCTCTTTCACTTACCAGCATTGACAATCCCTTTAACCCTCCCTCCCACACCATTATTTTGGGTTGCCACGTAAATGTTCCTACATGGCTCATCTTTCATGTCAATCAAAAGTTGCAATTAATTGTTTTTCCTTGGCATAAGTCTCAATGTAAATAGTTGTCAAAAGCATACCATCAGCTGGGTACATATTAATTTCATTATTAAGTTTTTGATGAAAAATGCACTTTCTTTTCTATTTGTTTTCATGCAGGCCTGAATGGAAAAATACCGTAAATGAAAACAAAAATAATCATAAATGATAAATAAGATTGCCGGGTAGTGAGTTTCTCCTTTCCATAAATATAATTATAACAATGGATCTTTTCGACACTGGAATTAATATATTTTAAAACTGTGTAAGTAAAATGTTATTTTCCTTTTTGGCAGCTTCGCCAAAGTGTTTTTCAGTTTGTTCAAAACCAGCTGGCTCCGAAAGCTGCAGAGATTGATAAAACAAATGATTTTAAAGACCTTAAAGTAAGTGTGGTGCTCTTGTTTAATTTTCTTATCTTAATAATATGTCAAGAATAGTCAAATGTTTTACTGATGTATTTCTGGATTTATTTTACTTGTAACATGGATTTTTTTATGTGATTTTTTTTCTAATGTGTAGAAACCTAGATATGTGCAGGACTCTTAAGCTTAAAGTCAATCACATTTTTTTATTTACTGTCAATGCTCTAAGAGTTTGAATCAAATTTAAACAAATGTATGCATTATGAACCCTATGGTCAACTTTCTGTATGTAATTACATGTGTTATAAATAAAAGAAAAGGGATGGCAGCTTTTTCAGCATTTTTTGTCAAATTCTTAATTTCTCTAGCAATTCTGGGTAGAATGTGGAAAAATGGGTCTTCATGGAGCAACAGCACCAAGTAAGAAAAAAATGTTTGACTTTTTTTTTTACAGTCATTAATTTTTTGTGTTCATTTCATAATATTACGTATGTATAAATTTGTATAATTTGCTGTATCATTAATAGTGCCAGTGTTAAAAAAAATATTCTCAAGTTGAGGATTTTTAATAACCATTCATTTGATTTAGGTAAATATGGAGGTTCAGAATTGGGCTACCTTGACCACTGCATCATAGTGGAAGAAATGTCTCGAGCTTCAGCTGCCATAGCTCTCAGCTATGGGGCTCACTCCAATTTGTGTATCAACCAGATAGTTAGAAATGGGACTGAAGCACAGAAAGATAAATATCTGCCAGGAGTGAGTTTTTTGTTTGTTTTTTTTTTTTTAAAGTAAAAACAGAAAAATGTTAATTTACAGCCTCCAAATATACTTGGAAAAAGAATTCAAAACAAAAAGTTAAACTTTTGATTCCTTTTCAAATGAATTATGACATATAAGAAAGCATTAAAGCATCATATTTTGCCCAATGATTCTAAATTTTGTATATGTCTCAATTTCAACATTTTCAGAAGCCCATCAATAGTTTCACCTGATTTGTGACACTATTTGATTTGCATTAATTCCCTCTTTAATTTTTAGTTGTAGAAAATTCGCCAACAAGAAATATATGAAAAAAAATGAACTTTAAAAAAATTTCATCATAAGATGAGTTCGATCGGGTCAAATTCTTTCCCTTAAAAAAGACTGAAAGAATTTAATAGCATGCTCCTCCAGCACTTACCAAATTCTAAATGATCACTAATTAACTCATTATTTTCAGTAAAGGAGTTAATTTTATTTTTTTGGTCTATAATGGCTGATATTTTCACCAGAGTAATACTTTAGATATCTTGGGTTTAAATTGTTTTAATTGTAAAATGTTTACGTTGTTAAAATATGTATTCCTATATGTGATGAAAATAAATATGTACAAAATAACAACAAAAAATATTTCCATTTATTTGAATCAATAAAAGAATCTAATCTTATCTTATTCTCTTTGCCCCCCCCCCCCCCCTTCCTTTTTTGTTCTCCCCCACACACACATTCATCTATCCTTGTATAATTACATTAGTAGGTATTCTAAATTTCATAAATTTGTTAAAATTTAATGAAAATATTAATAACTTTACAGCTTATATCTGGGGAAAAGATAGGGGCTCTTGCCATGAGTGAGGCAAATGCTGGATCAGATGTTGTTTCTATGAAACTCACAGCAACTAAAAAAGGCTAGTATTTCGATATGTGAAATCTTGACACTTATTTAAGGAATAGGATCTCTAACAAAATTTTTTTTATTAAAAGCTTACATGAATTAAAATCAATAATTTTGTTGAGATAAAGGTGTCTTATTTTTACCTTGGAAGGAGAGAGTTTCTGATCTGAAATTTTCTACCTGTTTTAAATTAGTTCATATTTCAAGTTTAAACAAAATGACTAAACAGTGTAACCAGTGTAATGCCATTTGATTATCACTCAGTAGGCATTGGGACAATGACATCAGAGCATTGTGAGATTCTAAAATAGCATGGATACAAGCGTTATATAAGTCTTCAATCAATCAAAGTAATGAAGGTTATTAACAACTTCATATTTAATTTGTATTTTTGTCAAACGACTTACAGCTGATGACTCAAATGTTTTTGATAAAACAAAAAGTAAAGATGACTCAAGTTACTTCTTTTTTCAGGGGATCATTATGTGTTGAATGGTACCAAGTTTTGGATTACTAATGGACCAGATGCTGATGTTCTAGTAGTTTATGCTAAAAGTGACCCTAAAAGTGCCAAACCCCAGCATGGGATTACAGCTTTCATCATTGAAAAGGTGTGTTAACTCATTCCCTACTGTTGTGACTAAATGTGTCGGTGGGGAGGTGGAGGGAGTGGCATCAGATGGATGCATCCTGGCACGTCTTTGGTTGTCATTTAAAAATAGAAATGAAATGACAGTCCCTAGAAACTGGCAGTGATGGCATAATTGTTCCTTATTTCAATTTAAAAAACACTGAAAGTTTTTATTTTGTTTCACTTTCACTCTTTGTGTGCTTCAGTATGGTGCATCTATTTATATCTATCACCGTTTTGTCTGAGGTGCCAGAAATCAATTTATTTGGTTGTTGTTTTTTTTAATTTGTTTACTGTTAATTTTACAGTTTTCTTAAACCTAATTCATTTCTGGGGGATTTGCCCTTAATTATTCATATTTAGCAGCCAAAAATTATTTTACAAGTGTAAATCAATTGCAAAACCAAGTTATTTTAGGTACAGAAGTAGCAGTAGGGAATTAGTTAGATGTAACATCTAACTTGATTGCTTAAAATTTAAGCTTTTAAATATTCCTTTCCTCAACGTGTTATATTTTACTCCTTGTTGTACACACAAGGCTTTTAATGGTATATGGATAGAAATTTGTTTCTTTACTCTTTGTTGTGCTCTAATGACCAAATGTCAATTACAAAATAATAATCAAAGACATCCCACAAGTGTTTCAAAATTCCTATGACAAATAACTGCTTGTCTTTGTTGAGTAACCTATCAGGTATTTTGGTCAATTGTGTGTTTGCTAAAGACAATTTCTATAAAATAGTAAAGACATGTTATGCCATATGCTTATTGCAGATATACCACTACAGGAAATTTTTAAAATTTAGATTAATTTTCTGAATTTCAATTAAATTCTATAAACTACTTTCAGGGCATGCCAGGCTTTTCAACAAGCCCAAAACTGGATAAACTAGGCATGAGAGGTTCAAATACATCAGAGCTTGTGTTTGAAGATGTTAAAGTTCCAGGCAAGATTGTTTTTTCACATTCATAATATATCTTCAACAATAAGAAAAATATGCCAAATATTTATTCTGTATTTTGTTTGGGGTTATCAGAGAAATGATTTGTATTGTCCACCTAACTGAGACATGGATCATTTGACAAGTAGTGAACATTCAAAATCCTCATTTTTGCAACACTTTATTGCAATAGAAGATGCTAACATCATCAAAATGATAAAAATTAAACCAACTTTTCATGAAAATTCATCCATAAACATAACATAACTGTATTGTTGATCTACTCGAAAAATATAATCTGCCATTTAAAATTCCGTTTCGTAAATTTAAAATTAAGAATAATAGTAAATCATTTACTTATAACTTCAAGAAAGCAGCAAAATGTTTTGAAATTTCTGGGCTTAAAGTGGTAATGTTATTTTCTTTTGGTTAGCTGAAAATGTTGTGGGAAAAATAGGTCAAGGCATTTACATCCTTATGTCTGGCCTTGACATTGAGCGTGGCTTGATAGCTGCATGTCCTATAGGGTGAGCAAAAGTGTTTTTTCACAAAATTGGATCCTACTCCTTATTTAATAGAAAGCTGTATGGTCAGTTTACCATGTAAAACCTTATTAAAAGTAACTAATGCATAGTCAGAAATAATATAGGGATCCTGCGAAAGTGCCAGACGTTATTAGTTGGGAACCTTTGCTTTAAGCTTCTGTTTTAATTACTGCTCCGGGTACAACAAAATTGTAATTTTTGCTAGTACAATTTTGGCAAAAGTTGTGTTAAAACAGTTTTAGTTGCCACTGACTATTTGATCCATTTCAGTTGTAATGACAACAATTAGTTTTTCTGCAGCTTCACAGATAAATTAAATTTGAGATTTTTTTTCAATTTAATTATTCAACTGATTCCCTCTTGCAAATTGATCTTTCTTATTTTTCTCCCCTCCCCCTCTCAAACCAATATTTTCCATGCAAGTTATATGATATCAGTAATAGAATGTGTAAAATTTGTGAGCAGTTCTGCTAGCCATTAACTTCAATTTACATTTTTAAATCGTTAATGGACAAAAAAACTTCAATTCATTAATATTGAAGTTGAAGCAATTTTTACAAGACAATTATTTCTTTTTTGGAAATGTTTTTTTTTTTTTTTTTTTTTTTAAAAAATAAACATATTAAAAAATTGTTTTTTTTTTGAAATTTTCCATTCAATTTACATTTTTAAATCGTTAATGGACAAAAAAACTTCAATTCATTAATATTGAAGTTGAAGCAATTTTTACAAGACAATTATTTCTTTTTTGGAAATGTTTTTTTTTTTTTGTTCTAAAAAATAAACATCATAAAGAATTGCTTCTTTCTTGAAAGTTTCCACTACTGTACATCAGTGAAATATCATTTACCTAATGCCTCGAAATTTGGTGATTGCCTAAGTGCAGATTTGTTCATGTTATTTTCAAAGAATGATAACAAATGCAATTAATTAATGATCATGTAAATGGAAATGGAGATATTTGCCAATTATCCCTCTTACATATTCTTCAATGTCATTACAGTATACTAATTGACAACCAATAGTCGCTCTAAGTTTTTAACATGTAAAAAAACTTGTTCAATAAATCTGTTTGAATGATTTTTTAAATGAATCTTTAAATGGACCAAAGAACCTGAGTTTCATCATTCAAATGTTGAGATATCTCAAAACTCCCTTTTGTTCCTCAATTAATCTCATGATTGATTAAATATTTTTGTATTTGTAAGCTCTCAAATTATTGACTCTTCACTCCTTTTCTTTGCTTAGTTGAGAACGTCATGGGTTCTACTGGCAAAGGAGTCTATGTCTTAATGAGTGGCTTGGATATAGAAAGATGTGTTCTTTCTGCAGGTCCTATTGGGTAGGTGAGGATTCTAAAATGAGCATTTGTTATCATTCTAACATGTCCCAGTACATTTTATTGGTACAGTATTTAAAATATATATTGTTTTGAAATGAATGTTTTTGACTATGGTAATTTTAAATATTAGAGTGAATACTAACTTTCCATTACTTTAATTATCGGTATATAATGTAGCTTGACCAGTTACTTGAACTTTTTAATTTTTGCTTTATTTCACTGCTAAAAATCTTGAATTTTATCTAACCAGTATGACTAGTTTCCAATATGCCTGACACGCCATTGTAGAGTTGTAAAAATATAATAACCAAGTCCACACACTGAGTTAAAATGCTAGTCTGCTGAGCCTTTTCTGATTTGCTTAAGATATAGGACTCGGCTTGGAAACATTAGCCTAAGACCGAGAGCATGCAGAAAGTCACCACACGGATAACCTGTCAGGTCCACTTACCACACAACTGCTTTTTGTTTTTACTCTTTCCACTTCAATCCCCCTGTGAGGTTTTTTTTCCAGCTTTTTAATATACATCCAAAACATGGACCAATTAAGAGAAACATAAAAACACCACTAACTAACGACTACTTATTGCCAAATACTTTCACAACATAAAACAAAATCAATGTAATGAGCTACATCACTTTATCCCCCAGAGATTACTTTTCCTCTTCCTTTTAAAATCTCACTGAAAAAATCTTTTCAGTACCCAGTATTAAGAAAACATTTGATTTTTTATTTTCCTGTTAGTAATAAGCAACCAGTGCTTATTTTTATATAAGAAAATAATAAATTAAAAAAACCTTTCAGAATCATGCAAGCCTGCTGTGATGTGGCATTTCAATATGCTCATGTGAGAGAATGCTTTGGTGAAAAGATAGGTCACTTTCAGGTAATTGACTAAATGGACATCATTGAGACAGCCTTTAAACAATGTATAATAAATTTGTGCATAATGCCATACTATCATTAGTTGGTCACTGTCCTTGACTAAATGACCTATTAAGTGACTGAATTTTACAATCTGCCTCTTAATTTGAATTTTTGATGATTGGAGAGCCAAGTTCTGGTACTAACTATAACTTGAACATACCGGTTACCGGTACTCAAAAGAAAGATTTAAAACTTTTTAATTGAATTTTTAAAATTAATATTAATCATTTTGAAAAAGCCTGCTAAAAATATTATTTTCAATTTTCATATAACTACATAAACTACCAGTATGGTATAAAGCAATGCTATAAAAATTACAAAGACTTAGAAGTACCCGGTAGAAGTAAAGGTGATTATTTAGAATTAAGTGCTTGCAATTGCAAGCATGTGTTGTATTTTTGTTCCTGCACCAATGCATCCAAGTTGATGTATATTGAATATACCTGCATGTTACAGATGATACAAGCTAAAATGGCTGACATGTACACAGTTCTGAATGCAAGCAGGTCCTATGTTTACAATGTTGCACGAGCTCTAGACCGTGGAGAAAGACATCCAAATGTAAGACTATTTAATAATCAACCAAAAATGTAGATGCAAATAAAATTGCCAACATTTAGAGTTAAAATTATAATTATTTCCATTTCTGGGCAGTTGAAATATTCCAGTATAGTCAAATCACAACAACGAAATTGCCAATTCAGTTTCAATCAAAATCAAATTATTTTGTTTTACTCCTATAAAGTAATAACTTGTCGAAAAATAATTAAATGTTATGTCCAAATTTAGTTATAGTTATATTTCTGAGAGTGAATAACAATTGTTTAAATGCCTAGGACTGTGCTGGTGTCATCCTGTACACAGCAGAAGCTGCCACTAAAATGGCTCTAGATGCTATTCAAATATTGGGTAAGTCATAAGTAGATAATGAAACAATCTTACTTTTTCTCTTGACCTTGGTTGAAACAAAATGATTTGTAGTTCAAAATAATTTAACAATAGCCAGGGATACCAAGTGAAGAAATTAATATTTTAAGTTTAAGCTTATAAAGATTAAAATATTGTATTTATTTAAATTAAATAACATAGGTTAGTCATTACATTTAAGCAATTTGATACAGTACTTAGGACATAGGTATCATTATGTCTCTTTTATTACTTTTTAGTTAATTTATGCAATAAATTTTATGGATTTTCTCAGTTTTTTATGTTTTGCTCATATTGTCCATGAAAGCAACTAAAATATTTCTGCATTATTTCTTTATTATTTTATCAAGTAGGCCAACCAACACAAAAAATTGCCATAGTCACATTTAAATGATTTCCTAGCTGAAACAATAATAAACTTAAAAGGAAACAAAAGGATAAACTTTATACCAGTTGCTGGGCTGCTTATCTTTCATTTGTGTGTCTTAGGACAAAATGTTCTTTCTATCAATGATTTCTTTATTGATATATTCAACTCAAAACTTTAGGTATAATTATTTGCTTGCTTTTTTAAATATATTCATAATTTTTTTTCCTTAGGTGGAAATGGTTATATCAATGATTATCCTACTGGTCGTTTGCTAAGGGATGCAAAGTTGTATGAAATTGGAGCAGGCACAAGTGAGATCAGACGTCTTGTCATTGCCAGGGCAATAAATGCTCATTACAGATAAAATCAACATTATCAACTGTGATAGTTGCTTGTTTACTCACAAAACAATAAACACAAAGTACTATCAGTAGTTATGTCTGCTTTGGTAGGATTTCTTATCTTGTTTAAGATAGATACTGGTATATTATATATATATATATATATATATATATATATATATATATATATATATTTGTTTTTTATGTTTTGTGTAGTTTTTTTTTTTTTTTATTTTTTTATATTTTATATATATATATATATATATATATATATATATATATATATATTTGATTGTTATGGTTAGTGAAGTTTTTTTTTTTTTATAAGTAAGTACTTTGAAGATTTATCATACGTTTCCTGATATTTTATCCATTGTTAATCTACACCCTCACAATTTAAAAATTTTTTGGCATTTTGTTTTATAGTTAAATCAAAATTAATTTTGTTACCAGAATTTTACTAATAATTATCAAGACTACTTCTGGATTTGATCAACTATATGAAGATTAATTTAAAGTACAGTAGCAGAACATGCACAGAATTTTAAGATATCTTTGTACCAATACAATTAATGAAATACTATAGAGACAATGAATTGTAAGAATTATCCCAGGAATTACAAAGCTTTACCTTGCTAATAATAATTTTTGAAAATAGTTCTATCACTATCATACATAGGTCAGAGATTATTATATACTCATGTACTTTTAGTGACTAAAGCAGTTGTAATAAGCTATGTATTATCAGATCTTGGAATTTTGCCTTTTGTGTTATTTAAAAATATGATTATGATTTAATTGGTACAAAATATGCTAACCCAGTGAGATTATTGTGTTGGATTCTGTATGATTTTTGATGTATGGCATTGTTTTGAAATATTTTATAAATGTATTTTAGAATATTTACTAATAAAATAAGTACAAAAATGGCGGAATCCAAGTTAAATCCTTGGCTGGTAATGGTAGATTTTACCCATAATCCAGCACTTGAGGGAAGTTTAAGCAGCAATCAATGCGCAAAATAAGGGAACTATTTCCCTTTCGCACTCCTACAGGTAAATTATACATTGTTGATGATCATATTATACCATATTCTCTACTTCTGAGTACTCCTTAATGTGATTTTAACTTGTTGAAAGCATTAGATCACAACTTTGTGTATGGCATATCTAAAGTAGAGTTGTTTTCTACTTTATTTTTGGAGGAAAAATCAGTGTTGAAAAATTGTCAAAAACATGTAAAATAAAAAAAAAATTAAGACCAAAATCCTTGTTTTCAACTATTTCTGCATTTATTGACAATGCTGAGTATCAGAACCAACAAAAGTTGGAAAGTGTAAAATATTTGTTTAAAAACATAACAAGTATTGCTGAAGATTAAAAATATATAAATAAGTTATAAGCCAAAACAAATTTGACTAAATAATTAAAAGTGGAAGTTAACCATCTAGTTGATCGTAGAATTATACCACAATTAAAAAATTTCTTGTCAGTGTTAATAGAGATTAATCTATAGTAATAATTATTGAACAAAACTATTATGAACACCACTTGCAACCGATTTTTCTGCAAAGCAACAGTGCAACACATCTAATGTACCAGTATTTTGATTTTAAAATAGCATCATGGTGTAAGTAAAACAAATTGCTACTTTCACTAACAGTGGAGTCTATGGATGATATGAGTTGATGTGTACAATACGTACTGCATTTATCAAGATCTTAGAATTGTTTTATGCACTTGATAAAACAACAAAAAGAATTGTGGCTTCGTTTATACTCTGTACGATTCTGAACTTTTCCAGATGAACCTTTGCAGTTACATGTAATTTTTGATATGCAAGTTAAAATTTAGTAACATTTTTTGATTGAAGCAATGCTTTCATCTGTGAAATTCATGAGTGAGATTCTTAATCTTATATGAAGTCTTAAAAACTAAATACATATTGTGGATGAAATAAAATGAAAGCAGACTAACCATTTAATACATTCAGTACAAGTTTACCACCATCAAGGTTGACATCATAAACTCACAAAATCATTCAAAACAAAACCTGATGTCTTCTATTCTTATACACAACTAAATTCAAAGATTTACACAGATTATCGATGAGTATTTCTAACACAAATAATATTTTTCTATTTAAACTTGATGATGGACAAAGTAATTGCTTGAACTGATCATTTCTTTATTGCAACAACAGCTCTCAAACTGAGTTGCCTTCCCTGAAGATCAAAGCAATTTAAGGATACCGGCATTAAAAATGCAGTACTTGTACATTTTTTTACCATTTTAATTGAATTATACTATAAACAAAGAATTATTTGATGTGATGATATATTTTAGGCTTGAACATGTTTTTTAGCATAGAGGAAATATTAAAATGTGTGACACAATGATCAGCTATTTTTTTAAAGTAGGGGTTGTTAAGAATTAAGTCACGCTTCTGTTTCTATCATACTTCAAAAAAAAAAAAATTTCACTCGCTAAATTTAATTCATCAATGCCAGGCTTGCATTCAATAGGGTTTAATATTCAGTCAAGCTCAGAACAACTGTCATCTACATATTGTAAATAGTCTTGCCCTGCATAAAGTAAGAGACAGCTGGAAAGAAGACTGAATGCCACTCTCATTGCAGGAGAATGGGGAAGTAAAGTTTTGCCTAATCCCCATACCATGCATGAACCAAAGTTGAACAAAACTGAGCCAAAAAGACTGTACAGGATAGCCCTGCTAGCTGGAAGTTTTCGAATGTGTCTGCGAGAGTAAACATATAGTCCTATTCCAAGGTGTGCTTGAGCCCACAAAACATTTTTAACGACTTCATGCACATCACCAAATGCTCTGTAGATGAAAACAATTTTTAAAATTAACAATTTGATAAAGGAAACTATTTACCAGATTACAGAAGATGCTATTTATGATACATCAATTGGCATAAAAGTAGTTTCACTTCATCCTTTACATTATGCAGTGGTATAGGAAGAAGGGGCAGTCTGCCCCTGATGGCACTTTTTTCTCTATATAAGGGTTGGCAGCTTTTTCAGCGCAAAAGATGCAAGGCATAATTTTATTTTACTATCAATTATTACTCATTATTTTGTGATATTGGAACTCTAATAGGCTAAATTCTAAAGAGTATATTTATTCTCACCCAGTTAAATTGAAATATTAGGTTAAAAAAAAATGGAGCAATTTAGAAAAAAAAACAAGCCATCAACTAGGCATTAGTCATCAAAAGGTGGAATTTGAGATATATTTTCATTTGATGAGCCAGGATGGCTTATCAAATAACAAGCTCTATGCATGCCTATGTGACAGCTGGAATAATATTGGCCTACACTAAAAAAACACAAAAAAGTATCCTATAGAATTCCTAAGTGCGCAAAAATTATAACCCAGGAGAAGCAGCAATTTAATAAAATTAACTTACTTTAAATGCAGCCATTGTGATTTTATGCATATAATTGTAAATACAGTTTATCTTAAGTCTAAGTTAAATAATTCTATCCTGGTAATATATTTATTATACTTTCAATGATTTGATTTTATGCTGCCTCTCAGTATTTTTTACACGAAAGCCTATTTTTGTTTGGCCTTATGGTAAATCCACCACTGCAATTATGACTTTGAACAGAATCATGTTTTTGCCCTCTAATTTTTCCTTGGTTTAATGCATGGTCAAATTGAGGTGTTTGAGGAACTGGGTACTGTCAACACAATGACACATAGCTGTCTATTCATTGTCCACAGATTGTAGCAAGCCCTTAGACAACAGGATTGTACCGTGCATATAGTTTGATGAAAATAATAAAATAAAACATGGAACCAAATACCCCTTCAATGAGTGCAATTTTTCTTTTTAATAAAAATAAAAGCCAGAATCACTTCTTTAGCCATTCAGCCCTGATCCTTATATTATTATAACCTCAGCACCATGACTCACTCTACTCACTGGGTAATTGTTATATAGAGCTTGTTTACATAATTTTTCTCGTGCGTGCCCTTTGATTGACCCCGCATGAGACGCTGTGTTCACAGAGGGGTGTGGCTTAGTCGTTTGATCTGTCGTGTTTATGCCGACAGCCACTAAAAATAATTAATCTGTTCCAAATAGTATTTTGTAGAATGATTGTGATTGTTCTAGAAACGTCATAAGTCTTTCTGGAAGGCAGGGCTTACGCAACCTATATAAGGGTTTGACAGGCACGGACGGAGGGATGTAGATTCAGATAGATATTATTAACTTTATGAGGCGTGTATTATTCCTTGTGTATTTGTGTGCTCATACTCATATGTGTTTATTTCGCACTTCATCATTACTCATTGGCACATTATTCTAACTGTATTAACTGTGTACCGGTACAAGATCTACCATACTGTAAGTTGAAGATTGTCATTATATTTTATTTTCATTTGTAATTATATTAAGACTTAATAAATCTTATTAATTGTAACTAGAAACTGCTTTGGGTGTCTTATGTTTAATATTGTTGATTCTATGGTATCGTCCTTTGTTAGGCACTGTTTACAACGAGCCAATTAAAATAAAAATAGGAGATTAATTTCTCCCAATACAAGTCAGTGCGCAACAGTAATCTTGTGACGTTCAGTGCTGGTACAACACATCAGCACATTAAAAAAAATTAATTTGCTAATGAAGTTTAAATATTTATGATCATGTGTGTGTACCTTTTTTTTTGGGGGGGGGGACTATATGGAACTATACTATAGTATAATGTAGCTATATGGTATGAATTATAATTTTATTTGTTACTTTCAATTTTCTCTTTCAAATAAGAATTATGTGAATTAGTGTTTATTTGATTTCATGGGGGGGTTGTCCATGGCAACCAAGATGGCAGCCAAAGCCAAAGGAAATAAGTGGCTTGTCAAACCAACATTTACCCATGTGGCACAGCATGTTGTTATTAGTAACTAGACAAGGCATTTCAGAAGGCTACTACAATTCTGAATCTGAGTATTCTGACACCACCTCAAACAACTTGACCAAAACAATTATTTTTATTGAAATAAATCTGACAAGATTTACCTGTTGAACCAGAAAGGATTCATACAAGCCAGTGAGAAGTACCCATAGCAAACAGATCCAACACTGGGAGCAATCTTAAATCCAAAATCACTAGGCGTTATCAAAAATTCCGGGAAAAGTCGCATAAACTCCCCCTTCCCATTTTCTTCATCTTCTTCATCGTAGCCCATGCCTCGCATCAGTAAATTTTCCATGTCTATTTGAGATTTTCGAGGAGAAAATGGATTACTGCTGTATTCTAATCCTTCGTGCTTCTCTTCCCTGGGAGGTTCCCGATCCCCAGTATGTGAATACTCTCCATAAGGAGCATTATTTCCGTCTACAGATCTTTCATCTGCAGGTTCGCCAATATTCAAGGTTGTGGGGGTCGCCATGATGTGAGTTTCAATACAAATGACGTCATTGTTTTAAAAAGTGTGAGTAAAAATTTTTAAAAGGCTGCTCAAGCTAAAACATTTATTTTTACAATATATATTAATATTATGTTAGAGTTTAAAATGTGCTATTTGTTTCAATTTAATGCAATCAGCGTCGGCTATTCGAAAATCGTGTGTGCTATTTACCTGTTATTCTTTTATTGATAAGTTATATACGATTTTTTTTATTAATCCATATAAATTATTAATACATTTTTTTTTCATTTACTATAAACTATTACTAAAAAGATGCATATAAAAAATTGTGCCACATTTATTTTCCATAAATGATAAATGATTGTAATTTGTACAAATGTATCATTATTCATATTCATGATTATAATTAATTAACAATATATAATAATATTATATATTGTTAATAATAATATTATTAATTTACCAATTGATGGCAATTGAAAATTGACTTTTAATTTTAGTTTTTTTTCCATTAATAAATTTCAATAATAATTTTGAGTTTATTTTTTAAAAATTATTTGACAATCTACATGTTTTGTTGTTTTTTTTTTTTTGTTTTTTTTTTTTTTTTTTTTTTTTTTTTTTAAAGTTTTTTTTCCTTTTTAATTATTTTTTTTATTTTTTTTTTTTTTTTTTTTTGTTTTTTTTTTTGTTTTTTTTTTATTTTTAAAAGTATTTTATCATTTTAAATTACTATTTTAGCATTCATTAATGCGTGAAAAAGTCAAAAGGTAGCAACTTTTTAGCTTTCTTTAATAAATATATGCAGAGAGTAGCAGCCCTTTACGTCTAGCCCGAAAAAGGTTGAATATTAACCAAAATGGCGACATTCATGTCCATCGATCTCATTAAATATCTGTGCAATTGTGGCAAAAAATGTCCTATCTGTCGAATGTATTTATGCAAGCATTGTTTAAAGTTAAGATGCATAGATTGTGTACAGCATGAGGTAATTGCTAAATGTTTAAATTTAATTAAATTTTAAAAGGAAGAAATTCATCAGCCCTTTTTTTTTAGTTTACAATTAAAAATTACAAATGATAAATGTATGAGTCATAATATATTTTAATCAAAGATTTTAAAATAAGCCTATAGACTTATTGGTAAAAGCGGAGTTCAGCTGCGCATATTATTTCTTAACGTATTTCGTATTTAATCATGTAAACGTACGTGTATTCTTTATTAATTAAATACAGGCAGTTATAAGTTATAGTTAACTAATACTGAATTTTAAATGTCCCTTTTTCTTTTTATTTGATTTCTAAAGAGTCTTTAAATTTAAACATCCCCCAACCAAAGTAACATAGCCCCATTTGTTTTGGGTTTTTTTTTTCGGCCTATGGCCAGATTTTTAACCACCTATACATTAGTATGATAAACGAAATTTTTAAACTGTAGGCATGTTCACAAAAAAGAATGAAATTTAGATTTTTAATTTTTTATTATCACACACCGTTGCTTGTATTGGTAATTTTTTTTCCTTTTTTATAAAAAGTTAATCAAAGAAATAAAATTACGTTAACTAAATTTTAAAATTACTTTTAATAAAAGTTTTATATATTTTATTTTATTACTATATAATGTATACGATTGAGTGGGGGGGGGGTTTTTAAAATTGAGTGGGCCTGCAGCATTGCAAAAGGTTAAGAATTCCTGCCCAAAGCATTTCAGCCCCTCCCCCCACCTGGTCAACCATTTTTTTAAGGTAAAAAAAATAATTTAATAATGTCTGTAATTTAGGGTTATTAGTGTAATTTTTTACTACAATATTCCCCCTTTCATGTAATGTCACATTGCTTAAACCCCCCCCCCCCCCCGGGTCACAAATTGTCACAAAAATGTGACCCACCCTACACCTGTGACGTCAATTATGGATGGCCTCTTTACTCATCCTAACAAATCAGCATCATGTCAAATGAAAAATTTTTCACAATTTAGACATCCTCATAATAGATTGGCATTGGTTACAAAGTCGTGACGCCCACCCCCCGCCCCCCTTTTCCGTGGTTGAAAAAAATCTGGCAAGCCTTGGTGTGTCATATAATTTGAATTAGTTAAATAAGTAGCTATTTATTGTTTGTTGTAATTATATGTATAAGATCATTAAGGTTGTAAATCTTAAGCTTAATTTGACACAAAATATGTATTATTATAATTATTATACAATTGTCTTTAACACATTGCGGTGGGGACAAATAATAGAGGTCATCTAGAAACATATAAATTAGATAAGAGTGACTTTGTCTTAGTTCCACTCACACTTATACTTTAATTTAATTAAGGGAAGACAAATTTTCACCATAACCTCAGGCAAAAGTGTACTTGACCAAATGGCTGCTGTATTCTGTATTATAATGAATGGAGGAAAAACTGTTAGTACAAACTCTCCAACCCTCACTTAGCGCACTGCCATTTTATGAGACAAAATTGTTACGTTAAAAAAATATTTAGCATGCCACTTTGCCTGAGGCATATGTATAAAATAAATCTTGTTGCAGGTATTTACTCAAAGTACAAAATTTAATTATTATAATAATTATAATCATAACCAGTGATGGATAGGGGGTGTGGCATTATGACTTTATAAAAATTAATAACTGTATGTGAATACAGATACCATGGTGATATGGGTTTTAGTCCAAAATCCCCTGCAATTATAGTTTGCATAGTTTATAATAAATATAACATAATCACCCATGAGTAGAAGATCATAAATTTGACCTAAATAGACTTATATTGTAGGGGTGTGCCGGATCCGTTTTTTCCAACCGGATCCGGATCCGGATTTTCTTATGCGAAATCCGCCGGATCCGGATTCCGGTTTCTCCCGGATTCCGGATTTTGGTACTATTGGTAGATACTTCGGTAAGTCAAGGTAGACTACTACTTTTTGTGTATGGGAATTCGCAATCGGCGCCAAAAAATCCGAGTTTTTAATTTTCCGATGTGTGTGTCTATTTATTATTAAATTAGTACTTTCGATATATATTTGAGTTCCGTTCCATTTGGATAAGTGTCTTACGAGAGACGCCATGTTTCTACGCGTTCGCAGCAGGTCATGCAGCTCGCTCAACCTAATTTCGCCATGGGGTTGGCCACGCCCCCCTTTTTAATGGCGGAAGTTGACGATACTTAGGAAATATTAATTTATTATCACTATTTACATCAAAATAATTGATAACTTGTGTTTCAGAATGCATTTAAAGACATTTAAACTGGAATGTTTTAATTTGAGCTTTAACAACCCGGTAGAATCCATATTATAAATGATCAGAATTTACCGTGTGCAACACGTTGTCATTGGCAACCATTCACAGCCACTTGCATAACTGTATCGTAGTACTACCTCAGAGTTTCATTCATAAGAGTTTGCCGTGTGCAAAAACTATTAAACCATTGGTCAGGGAAAGCTTTAATTAATTATTCATGTGCCAAAGTTGAAAGTTTAAACTAAGTCTAAACAGTATTTTAGTGATAAGGCAGGGAATGCGTTGCCTTATATAAACTATATAGTCATTGCGCATGACGGGATTGGTGGAATGAGATCACAGAATGTGGAGATGCAGTCCATGTTAAAAAATGACAAACCAAGTCGTACTTTAAAAATTCATAACTTTAAAACTACAACAGCTAAAAATATGATTTTGGTGTTATAATTCTTTAAAAAATTACATCTTTTCAACTATGCCATTGGTTTATTTTTACAAAAAGTTTAAATTTCTTATCAAAGTCCCTACACTATTGGCCACTATTAGCGGTGCTGACTCTAGCCTCTGGTATGTACGGAATATTAAACATTAAACAAGCTCAACGCTCGAAACAATCGATTAATGTATCGTGATCGTGTGAAATTCGGGAAAGAGAATTACTTTTATTTCAGATTATGATCCGGTGAGTCACAAAATCTGGCAAATTCCGAAATCCGGTATATTCCGGATTCCGGAATCCGGTTGTTCCGGATACATGTAAATCCGGCGGAACCGGATTTCACCGGATAGTGCAAAATCCGGCGGAACCGGATTCCGGACCGGGGTCCGGCACACCCCTATTATATTGACATTACTTGAGTTTGTTTTGCTTTTTTTTGTTTTTTTATTAGTGGTTGTAAAATGCGGAAATTCCTCCTTCATTTTTAAGTAGTGTTGTCATTTTTCATTTTGTTGGGTCTAATTACACAATCCATTTATCCTTCCAATCTTAGGTTGACTCACCATATTGTCCTAGCTGTTTGGAAAGCATGCCAGTATCAGAAGCAAAACTGAAAAAAAATAGGTAAGTGTTTTTTCCAGTATAAAATTGTTTGGTACATTATATACAATGTTTTTCTACATTTTATTTTGTTTAAAGTAAAATGCTAATTTAAATATTTATATTGTTCTTGCTGGTAAGTTGTATAATATTTTTTATCAAAATAAATTACTTTTTAATTAATTTATAATTGGAAAAAGTATGTTAAACAGCTTTATATTTTAAATTAATCTAGATGTATCAACTGCTTTGACTGTCCATTATGTGGCCACACCCTGATGACAAGGGCTACTAGTCAGGTTTCTCCCAACCCTGATGACCCCAGCAAAGCAGTCACCAGGAAAATGTACTATATGGCCTGTGGGTTTTGTCGATGGAGCACTCGGGATGTTAATCTTCCAGATCAGAATGTTGGTAAGAGCTTTTTATTGTTGTGTTGGTATCCAAGATATTTCACGTGTTGGAAAGCTAATGGATTACAATTTTATGCCTTCGCATCCCAGAATAGAACTTAAATTTGCTTACAATAGTGCAAAATTAAAATTTTGGATAACAGTAATCAGTAGATTTTAAAAAAGATTTATACTTACCTACTTTTTTTTTCCACTGTCTTACTTACTTTCCACTGTCTAAACTGGTGGAACTAAATTGTTATTCGTTAATACTGAAGTACGAAACGTTACGTAATAAAATCATTTGACTATTTTAGTAATTAAAAAATAATAATAAATTTCCTAGCTAAAAGGAAAAACAAATCTGCCAGCCGATTATCTATTTAATCGCTTTGAAGTATTATTATTTATTACTTTTTTCATTTCTAAGCCACTGGAAACTGGCCAGTGATGGAAAACCCCAATGCCAAGCGAGTAAGTACGGTTACAACCTTTTATTTTCTTTTAGGCACTTTATAAAAAATAATTTTATTTAAATTGTCGTCAATTTTTATTGAAATAGAATCTTGTATTTTATTTTTTAAAAATCCATTCTACTACTTTATTTCTGTAGATTTCAAATCTTTTGGAAAACTATAAGCTCATCGCTCAAGTAGAGAAGGCTGAACGGGAACGTAAAAAGTATGTGAAACGTAGGAGTCATCTTTATCTGCAGGTAAGACATTATAATTTATAATAGATTTGAAAAATTTTGTATCAAATGTTTACCGGTGTTTGGAACATTTAAATCAATATAATAATTTAATTCTTAAAATTATCTAATTTGAACAGGAAAAGTACAACATGTCTCCAGCAATTGTAAAGAGAAAGGGTATGGCTTCCTTTTCTAGTTTAAGGTAAGCTTCTCAATTACTCAAACTGTTACCTGTGTTAGGACACACATCTTATGGATTTCATTTATTTAAAAAATGTTTACTTTGACTTTCATTGCCATCTTCTTCTTCTATATATTAAAGGCCCATGATCAATTTATTGATCATTTTGGCTCCTATGCATGTAGAGGGGATTTTCAATGTTTCTGTGCCTGGTGTTGAAGAGGATATTTCACTGGTTGCAAGGGTTACTCAGTGAGGGTATCGTGAACTGGGAGTTGGAAGGCTTGAGGCAATAGATGCAATTGTTTCAAGTGTTTTCGCCTCATCTGATTTCGATGTTGGCTGAATGAAGGATACAGGTTTCTGCATCCATTATATCTTAAAATGGTTGTTTCTATTTTGAAAGATTTCATGCCAAACAGCTGGATTTCAAATTTTGTATTTATTAAAAAAGGTGCATACATATCATTTTGAGTGGTTCTTCGTCTATGATGTATAATATATTCTTACTATCAAGTAAGGATAAATAATTCTATTAATAAATCAAGGAAAATGTCACCCTGTCATATGTTATGATTGACATTTATGTACCAGGATAAGGTTTAACAAATTTAATCTGTTGTTTTAAAATGTTGCTTGTTAGTAGAACAAAACAACAAATGGCGAAAACCTGTACTAAAAAAAATGATACCAAAGCTAGTGATATTAACAATAATCAATTTATTTATACCGTTTTAACAATTCTGATATAAAAGTACAAAATCAAATATATAGAAATAAAAAGATTCTGTTTACTTACAGCTTGTGAATTCATATAACAATAGAAAGGCAAAGATATCAATCCTCACATACAGACATACTGAAAAGACTTGTAGTTCTATTATTTCTCTTGTATCTCTCGTAAGTTTGGTACATCTTGTATTTCTGCCATTCACAAGTCACACTCGACCGTCGTATTTATAGCTAGTAGATTAGAATTTTCTAGGATTAGAAAGTCTTAGAAATTCAATTGCCAAAGAGTATATCCTTCTGGAAATGTAAACAGTCAATGCTAATCAGAGGAGTTGGGAAGGGGTGATAGGACGTGTCACCAAGTTAATTCGTGACGATATAAAAATAACAGGGTGATAAAACTCCGCTTTGAACTAAAATTCAGTTCAACACACAGGCCATAACACATAAATTCACTTATTTTAAGTGTGTAGTTTAAACACTATTTGCCTATGCTGAGTTTGTTTTAATTTCAGTTTAAAGGAAGGGGATAAAACTCCAGATGATTTGGATCAAAGTGAAACAGTTAGCAGCTTTGATCCCTTGCCAACAGAGTTTTTTACTAAGCCAGCTGCTTTAGATAAAAGTGAGTACACTGATTGTGTAACATACATTACATTAATTTGTAGTTTTACTCATTTAAGCTTACTTTTTTTTTCACCATTTTTATATGAAAAATATTATTATTATAGTTTTTATTTTTTGTTTAAAAAATATTGTTTTTAAAATTGAGTAGCTTGAGAGATACTCTGCCATAACATTGCTATCTTTGCCATTTTTTCAAATTTAAGTAACTTTAGTCTGAAACGACTACATTAATATGTTTTATTGTTTTCTAAGTTACCAAGCTGACTCACAGGTTTATGCTACCTGAGTTCCAGCCAGATGAGACATCCAAGCTACATCCTGTTCGCAAGCACCTGCTGATGAGGAAGTCTCTTCGATGTAGTGTAGGTTATTGGAATGTTGTTTCTAAGTTATTAACCATATTAATGGTTGAATAAAGTTAATCATACCCAACACAAACATTTAGGAACAGAATGTGTTGTTTATCAGTTGCATTTTTTAGTAGCCTGTTTAGTTTTATAATACATAGTTTAACTAAATATGAAATTAAATGAATCAATTTAATTAATAAAATATGAAATGAAATGAATAATTTGAAAAAAATAATAAAGTATTTTTAGCGTAAAAGAATCCTAATAATTCACTGATAGTCTTAGATTTAATTCTTGCTTGATTTTATAATTTTAACAATACTTTTATAGCCGTTTTTAAAATTCAGACTCCATGTTTGATAATGCAACTAAATAATGCACATAATTTGTTCATCTGTGTCTGTTTGATTAAATAATATGTCATTGAAAGTCTGAATTGAGCAAGAATTAAGTGGCCATAATATAATGAAAGGTTTCTTTTGTTGACAAACACTTAGCGAGCGTGCAGGCGTCACAATCTTTTGGTGTTATATCCAGCCACACATAGACAAATAATTTATTTGCCTTTTATTCTCAATTTTTGTTATTTCTTATTTTCAATTTAGGAATGTGAACACAATTTGAGTAAAGCCGACTTTAATCCAAACTCTATTAAATTTAAAATCCAGTTAACTGCATTGTAAGTATGCTTGTAAGGAATTTTTGATAATGTAAGTGTTGCTATTATAAAGGATATTTTATATTTGCAAATTACATGAAAATTCAGGAAACAGAATATTTATTTAGTGTTAACAGAATTGAAACAGATTTATGTTGAAGTTGAAAAAGTGTTTAGACATAAAGTTTAGAAATCTAAAATTAAAATAGTATGCTATAATCCTCAAAAGAAGTGCACTTAAACTTTTAAGTAAGGGGCTAACCATAAGATTATACACTGAGGAGGGGGGGTTGTTGGTTTGGAGATTTTGCGTATGGGGGCATAAGGCAGACCAGGTTACTTGTATGATTTTGGCATACAATGTTTGATTTAGAGATGCTTTTTACAATAGTATGCCCAGACCTGTCAGAACTACTATTTTAAGAGTCTGTAAAAAATATATTCTGGTAGTTTTTATTATTAAAAAAAACATAATAAACCTTTTTCAATTGATAGTTTTAGCTCCTTTTTACATTCGGCAGTGAATAGATAGAGAAATACGATTGTTTGAGGACTATCCATAATTATATTATGTACTCTGAGTGTTGATGACTTATGAGCCTACCGGTTTAAATAGAAGGGGGTAAGGGATAGGTGAATAAATATTTTTAAAAGCTATAAAATAAGATTGCCATTATAATGATGGTGATGATAGTCATATTGTTGTTTTGCGTTATCACAATGAACTCATTAGATACAGCAACAGTAATATTTAGTGAAGTCGCCATAATTCGCTTTTGTTAGTTTCGGTGCTGTATGATGCAAGTTTGTGCATGATTGTTTTATTCTTCAGCTGAACCGCAATTGCGAAAATGGAGAAAAATTAATTTTTATCGGTGCATTTCAAATGCTCCATATGGCTGCGCTAGATTTGGCATATTTTAGATCTAGTAAACGTCATTTGAAATCTATTTTTAGAAGTCACTAAACAGCTGTAAATTTTAATAGCCCAATTTGGTTTCATGCACTCCTTCCCTTCTCCCAATACAGCTCTGCTTGTTTATTAGACTATAGGCGCCTAGGCTTAGTGCAAGGACTGATTCAAATTGAAAATGATTGAAATAAGTCATCTCAAAACTTAAATAAAAATTATAAAAATAATTTTACTATTTTTACTATTTATGTAACTACTAAAATAAAAAGAATTTATATAAACAAAGCTAGGTAGTGGGAACCTAATTTTGAAAGGATAAACAAACCCTCCCCACCCCCACTTTTGCTTGGGTGACTTTGGCGGTTGCCTTCGATTTCCACCCCATCTTCTTCTATCAAAGTGCCAGTAGTTATTGTATACATTATAATTATACGGTATGTTTCTCTCTTTACTATTACAATATGGTATTGTATGATTTTGTTGGGGTAAAGATTTATTCTTAAATGATATTGTACTATTTTGGGAGTTACAGGGTAACCAGGTCTGATATGACAGATGAGGGTGTCTGCAGAATGTGCACAAACAATTATGCACAAATTTTGCAAATAATTATCATCAACTTATGACTGCCCATATATGATATATACCCATGTATATCTCTAAGGAAAGTAGAGACCGACCGAAAGTGATTTTCTGATTTCGGCCGAAGCCGAAAATAGGCCGAAAGTTTAAAATGACTTTCGGCCGAAACCGAAAAAAGGCCGAAAGTTTAAAAATGACTTTCGGCCGAAACCGAAAAAAGACCGAAAGTTTAAAATGAATTTCGGCCGAAACCGAAGCCGAAACCGAAAATGAAATATTAAGATATTTTGAAATTCGTTCCCGCATACATTCTGCTTACGTGGGAAAATATAAATATTTACATTCTTTTTATAAAAATGAGATACTCGTAAATATTAATAAATAAAAATCTAATTTAGGGTTCTCAAACTCGCGGCCAGCGAGCCATTTGTGACCCGCAAGACGATATCTTGCGGCCCGCTACATGACAGAAAAGTTTAGTGTAAATGCGCCGGCCCGTTTCCCCCATTCTCATATATATAACGTGACTCTCCGCGACGGTTTCAGTGGAATCTCACCGACTAATCTAATTCTGATTTTTTTTTTTAATGTCTCTATATATTTTTGTATGCCAGCTCTCTGGCAACAGTGAGTAGGTGGATGAAAGTGAAACCTAGTTCTTGAGAACCCTTAATGATTTTTTTGTTATTTATAAAGGTTGACCAGATTGTAACAGTTGTAATCGCTTTTTTGTGGATTACTTGATGCGGCCCACTCTCATTCAGACACTACCTCCTGCGCCCCCCCCCCAACCGACCGAAAGTGATTTTCTGATTTCGGCCGAAGCCGAAAATAGGCCGAAAGTTTAAAATGACTTTCGGCCGAAACCGAAAAAAGGCCGAAAGTTTAAAAATGACTTTCGGCCGAAACCGAAAAAAGACCGAAAGTTTAAAATGAATTTCGGCCGAAACCGAAGCCGAAACCGAAAATGAAATATTAAGATATTTTGAAATTCGTTCCCGCATACATTCTGCTTACGTGGGAAAATATAAATATTTACATTCTTTTTATAAAAATGAGATACTCGTAAATATTAATAAATAAAAATCTAATTTAGGGTTCTCAAACTCGCGGCCAGCGAGCCATTTGTGACCCGCAAGACGATATCTTGCGGCCCGCTACATGACAGAAAAGTTTAGTGTAAATGCGCCGGCCCGTTTCCCCCATTCTCATATATATAACGTGACTCTCCGCGACGGTTTCAGTGGAATCTCACCGACTAATCTAATTCTGATTTTTTTTTTTAATGTCTCTATATATTTTTGTATGCCAGCTCTCTGGCAACAGTGAGTAGGTGGATGAAAGTGAAACCTAGTTCTTGAGAACCCTTAATGATTTTTTTGTTATTTATAAAGGTTGACCAGATTGTAACAGTTGTAATCGCTTTTTTGTGGATTACTTGATGCGGCCCACTCTCATTCAGACACTACCTCCTGCGCCCCCCCCCCTCATAATTTGAGTTTGATACCCTTGATCTAATGAATACTTTGGATTTTACCATTTTAATATAAAACTAATTTAAATTGCTTTACAATTTTTTTCAAATGTGAATGGTAGGAGAAAATTTGGCAGAAATTGGGGGGTGGGGGGTAGAGGAGGGGAAATTAATGAAAAATATTATTTTTTTGAAACCGGGTCTCTAAAAAATGTGGTTCTAAAAGATCACTTAATTTGTTCTTAAAGATCGCTTATTTTGTTGTTAAAGATCGCTTAGTTTGTTGTTAAAGACCGTTTAATTGGTTGGTTGTTATTGATCGGTTAGTTTGTTGTGAAAGATCGCTGAGTTTGTTCATAAAGATCGCTTAGATTTTTCTAAAATATCGCTTAGTTTAATCTTAAAGATCGCTTAATTTGTTCTTAAAGAAAGCTTAGTTTGTTGTTAAAGATCATTTAGTTTGTTGTTAAAGATCGTTTAGTTTGTTGTTAAAGATCGGTGAGTTTGTTCATAAAGATCGCTTAGATTGTTCTAAAATATCGCTTAGTTTAATCTTAAAGATCGCTTAATTTGTTCTTAAAGAAAGCTTAGTTTGTTGTTAAAGATCGTTTAGTTTGTTGTTAAAGATCGTTTAGTTTGTTGTTAAAGATCGTTTAGTTTGTTGTTAAAGATTTTTTTTAGTTTGTTGTTAAAGATCGTTTAGTTTGTTGTTAAAGATCGTTTTGTTTGTTGTTAATGATCGTTTAGTTTGTTGTTAAAGATCGTTTAGTTTGTTGTTAAAGATCGTTTAGTTTGTTGTTAAAGATCTTTTAGTTTGTTGTTAAAGATCGTTTAGTTTGTTGTTAGAGATCGTTTAGTTTGTTCTTAAAGATCGTTTAGTTTGTTGTTAGAGATCGTTTAGTTTGTTCTTGAAGATCGTTTAGTTTGTTCTTAAAGATCGTTTAGTTTGTTCATAAAGATCGCTTAGTTTGTTGTAAATTCGCTTAGTTTTTTCATAAAGATCGCTTAGTTTGTTCTTAAAGATCTTTCAGTTTGTTTTTAAAGAACATTAAGTCTTCTGTTAAAGATCGCTTAGTTTATACTTATAAATCATTAAAGATCATTTGTTTTGTTCTTAAAGATCATTTAGTTCGGTCTTAAAAATCGTTTAGTTTGTTATTAAAGATCGCTTAGATAGCTCTTAAAGATCGCTTAGTTTGTTTTAAAGATCGTTTAGTTTGTTCATAAATGTCGTTTAGTTTGTTGTTAAATTTCATTTAGTTAGTTCTCAAAGATCGCTTAATTTGTTCTTAAATGTCGCTTAGTTTGTTGTAAAATATCGCTTTCGCTTAATATTAAATGACCGAAAACCTGAGTAACTTACGGCCGGATGGCCGAAAGTCTAAGTCAATTTCGGCCGAAACCAAAGAAAAACCGAAAGATAACTTTTCTCTTTCGGCCGAAACCGAAATTAAGCCGAAAGTTAACTTTCCAGTTTCGGCCGAAACCGAAACTTTGCCGAAAGTGATAAAATGGCCACTTTCGGCGCCAAAACCGAAGCCGAAATTCGGTCGGCCTCTAAAGGAAAGCCAACTCCGGGAAATACATTCTAATTCAACATGAAAACATATCTTAAAGAAGAAGCATGTTAACCTCATCCCCAAAATTGTTTGACTTTATTAGATGCTACTTTAGAAATGCTTTCATGATGGGCTACTTTAGAAATGCTTTCATGATGGGCTACTTTAGAAATGCTTTCATGATGGGCTACTTTAGAAATGCTTTCATGATGGATTTAAATAACTTCCGGTCTACCTTGCTAAGCTGATTTATAATTTATTCTCTTGTCTTTATTGTTTGAGCTGAACAAGGCTCTCAGCAGAGACTTACTAATCATTGTCTTCTGTCTTTATTAAGGCTTTCACATACCACATCCTTTACTATTTTATTCAAGGGCATTGGAAGGGTGGGAAGTGACAGGAGGGTTTTGTCATGTTCTTTTCCTAAAAATTTAGAATTGTGAGTGAAATAAATGATACTTTCCTGATAGTTTTATCATTGTGAAGGTAGTTTGTGTCATCCTTTTATTTATAGTTTGTTATCTGACAATGAACAGGTGAATAAATAGATAGTAAAAGCCAGTAAGAATTAACAATCACTGAAATGACATGGTGGCAAATGCATTTTTTAATATTGTTTTTACTGAAGGACAAAAAACATTTCATGTAGATCTAATACTTTTTAAGTTAAAGCAAAATACATGCATAATTTTTTTTGTTAGGACTTTTTTTAATTGTGTAATTATTTTCATACTGATTTGTACCCATTTGTACATTTTCCACACATCTCTCAAAATTTCCCAACATTTACGAGTTAAAATATAAAGAAAAGTCTGCATTTTTCTTACTAGGCATTGGATACCTGAGGTGAGAATAATGACACCATCTACCTTCAATCTTAACAAGGTGAGTAAAAGTTAACTGTTATTAACAAATTGCTCATTTCCTATTCAGATGTTATTCATTTAAGTTTTATTTAAGATTATCATTTAATCATTAATTCAAAACTTTTCCCAAACTAGAAAAATTTAAGTTGAAGGGAAATAAATGAAAAATATTGAGATTATTTTTTAAAACAGCTATGAAAGGTGTTTTTAAAGGAAAAAAAAACCCTTTCATCTTAATCTATATTCCATTTCAAAATGGCAGTAAATGTAATTGTAAAAGTGCTCTCCCTTTCACCAATCTGAGTCTTACGAAGCTCTGGTGATTTAACTATTGTGCGTAAATTAAAACATCTTGATTAATTGGCTTCAAATATTCATTTCCAGGAGACTGTTGTTACTTTGACCTTAAGTAATCCATCAGTGTTCAACACAACTGTAACTCTATCTCAGATTGAAAATGAGACTGACACAGACTACTGTACAGCAAAGGTTGGTAGCTGTCTTCATAATGTAAGCAACTTTGTTGCTGCCTTAGTTAGCCTTGCAATCTATTCTTATTTTTATAATTTCATTACCAAAAAGTTATTTAAGCTGCTTGCATATTATCAAGGGCCCTCAGCGTAAAAATAAAATAATTGAAGATTTCTTACCACTTTTTGCTTGGCACATCTTATGCAATACAGAAAGTCACAGATCTGGCAATATTTATAACCTGTTGACCCATGTGTATTTGACTGACTTTTCCTTTTTTATTGATTCAAATAGTCCACACAAGGTGACTATCAGAGATACGTTTAATGTTGTCATTAATGTAACGTTAAATTGTGTGCTGGGTGGCCGAGCAGTCTAAACTAAGTCAATACCAAGCTTGTCGACCGTAGCCCAATCCCAAGCATAAGCCTAGACAAGCAAAAACAGCACCAGCACCGCAGGTGGATGGGACTCATTAACCGTGAATGGAAATTCACCTAAGTGAAGGCAACTCTGAAATCAAACATGGAGATTGCGTCTTGTAGGCGGGATGACATTGAAACAATGAAAATTTTGACATGGTACACATAAAGAGCACAGTGAAAAACAAAAAAAAACAAAACAAAAAAACAACTGGTCATCTACTGCCTCGAGGTCTATTTCCAGTTGTCTATTTCTAGTCTCAACTAAATCTTGCCTATGGATCAAATATTCAAGGATGAGATAGTGAGGCTGATGAATTGAGCTTTTAAACAAAATACAGCTCAAGTTAAGTCCACTGCTCAAGTCAAATATTGCCTTTTTCTTCACATGCTAAGAACAAACAATATATTATACATATAATGTTAAATTGTTCAGCAATCTCTGATATTATTGATTTCCAACTAATCTAGGTCGAGCTTCCCAAGAAAGAAATAGTCCTGGCTAGCAGAGATGAGGCCTCAATGCATGTGTATGAGGAGAGCACTGCCACACATGACTTTAAGGATGATCCCAAGTAAATATTGATTGGAATGCCTGGTAGCGTTTTATAAATTCTTAAAATTACAAAGAGTAATAATTTGTATGTATATATTTTTTTATATTTTGAGGTGGGTGTGTGGGGGCAGTTACGGTTATTTCAAGATTAATATGAATTTTGCGCTATGTGACAGCACCATGTCATGGAGTCAGAGGATGGTAAGATTGGGAAAGTTATTTTTTCCCAGTGTGTTACATGCAATGTTAGTAGCCAAAATAATAATGTGACTATATGTTTTATTTTTCAGATTGATAGCTTTCCGTAAAGGCAATAAGGTTGGATTTATAGTAAAAGTGACACCAGTAGTCAAAGATAGTGATGTGAAGGTCAGTAATGCTTCCCGAATATTTGTGAATTGTTTATCTCCTTGTGAACATTATTTTGTCTCAGTTTTATCCTTCTCAATTTTTACATCTCAAATTTTTTTTCGCAAGCCAAAAGGTGCTAGCCCTCCCGCAACTGTTGCACAAGCTACATTAGTATCACAATATAATTGAATTTTAATGAACTTTCCATACCTCTTTATTTTTCCTCACAAAATCAGTTTTTAACTAATTTTTAACATTTGGATTTCTAGATTTGCTTTCTCTTGAAGCATGAGTTTCGCAACACAACTGTTGCTGCCCTGCAAAGTGAGTCCAAAGAACCAGAGATTGTTTGGCTGGAGCACAAAGTGTATCTGTGTCTAGGAACAGTTTAATCTACCACAGGACATTTCCTAATTTACATTGTATCTTGATAAATTTGCCAGAAAGTAATTTTATTTTACTTTGAATAGGATGTAGATTATTTATAACTACCATGGTCATTTTCCCATGAAGAATTTGCTTTTTGACTTAAAAAGAAAGTTTATATAGCTGAACCTCATGTATAGTACAGTAGTTTAATGGTCTTGTCATGGGCCAATGTTTTTTTAGACCTGCTAGCTGTTCTTAAGATTGTGATTGTGCTGGTCTGCAATGTTGCCATGAGTGTGCCTCTTCCAAATGGTCAGTGTAAAGAACCTTATCAAAGTGTTAGATTTTATGATTCAACTGTAGACCTTTTTTTTTTTATCAACCACTTTAAACTTTATAGATTTAGGTTAAGGGGATTTTTGGTTAACACGGTACCATAATCAAGCCAACCATGTTTGCCCATGTTTACTACGCTTCAATTTATTTTCCCATAAATAACTGTCACAGTAATGTAGCAGTACAAGTATTTATTGGTTAAGCTGTGGTGGGATCAAGTGCAATGCCTTTTATGTTATTTTATGTATCAGAATATGTATCGATCATATGGTCATGATCCAGCCTTTTTTTCTTTTTTTTCTTGTCAACATAATTATTTTCATAAGATATCCATTAGTTTTGAACTAGATAAATACATCATGGTACGGACAGAAGGCTCCTATCTTCTGGCAAGACAATTTTTACTTAAGTTGTGTATGTTTATCTGGTAATTTTGTTTACCGGTATCAATGAATTGTAACATCCCAGAAAGGAAATAATCATTTTAAGCTATTATTAGTTATGAAACATATTAATCAATAACCTTTTTCTGTTCATTTATCTGTTCATAATCATTACATTCAGAGTATGCCTTTTCATTATTTATTCATCTAAAAAAATAATGCTGTCAAATTCTTAGTTTTCACATTAAATGTACAGCTACTGACTTCCACAATATTTGTATGCATAACATAATACGGTATAGCTCTTCACACCATTCATAACTGTAGCTTTTTGCCCTGGTAAATATTAAGTTATATTACACAGCTTTAAAAGTTGCTGTCCCATGAAACGCTGGAGCTAATCACTTGCATACTTATGTAAAATAGCTTTGTTAAGCTTTGAAGTCAGCCTTACATATGATATTTAGATTTCAACTTCCCTGAGCAATGTGTAGAAAGTTCATTGGCTGGTTGTTAACATTTGACTCCAGCAGTATCAATAATCAATTCTCAGAGATTGGTGAGTTTTTTGTTAAACTATTAGTATATTTATGAGTTATGTATTTGTAAAGCATTTTTAAATTCTTGTTTAAACTCATTTTTTGTATGTGATATTTGAAGAGAAAGAAATTATTAGATTCAGTTACCTTTTTTTTATTAATTACACTAATATTGCTTCAATATATATATTTGTAAATGTTCATTTTTCAATTCAAATATATTATTCTTTTATTAAAAATAAGAGTCTTCAACTAGTTTCTCACCAACAGCCCCCCCCCCCCCCCCCCCTCCCCTCCTTTTCCCAAACCAATTTTTCATTAAAACAATTGAACTATTAGTAAAGAATAATTTATATCTGATATTATTATGTTAAAATTATGGTGATTTTCAGGTTTTATTGCACTATTAGCTTGTCATCCTTCAACTTATTAAAAAAAGGCTTCCCACAGAACACTTGTACATGTATTTATTTAGCCAATGTGTTTGGTTTCTATCGTGTGTACAACAATCATCAACAGTCCTCTAAAACTGGGAATTAAAATGATAGATATATTTAGTGGGTTTTTTCAGGTATTTCTCTGGGTGTGTGGGTACCATCATTGAGCAAGTCCACTGCCCCCCCCCCCCCCCCCCCC